GTGGCAGTCTAATTGGGGCTTCAGGCATGGTTTCTTCGTTTTCTGATGATTCTTCTCAAGCAGCGTCGTCGTCTGGTAGATCACTGTGAGGATTCTATTAAAACGAACTTGTTGAAGTTTTAGATTTGTATTAGTCGCTGGTAAATTTTTGTATTCGTTTTCTATATCTTTATCGAGGACCAAGAGATTGACTTAGAGTTTTACTACTACTTCCATTAACCATGATGACATCTGCAGCGATGGCTTGCTTAGGTTTTGAAAAATCAACTGGGAATGAATAGATAATGGAACCTTATTGACCCCATCCTGTTATAAGAACTCAAGCCTCTCTCTCTCTCTCTCTCTCTCTCTCTCCATGATGAGATAACGAGATTTGATTAACTAAAATAAAAACTGCATTGCATAGGACAAGATTTCCACTGTTCATTGATTCCCCATTTTCAGTGATTATATCAAACATTAGTTATTTGGGAAGGGGAATCAACTAAAGTGTTTTTCTTTTATATGTGTAGAGAAGCTGCTACAACGGAGGATGATACTGGAATCGAGGGGATATTGAATCGATTGGAGAAACAGAGAAATTTGACGTTTGGATTTAATTTGAAAGAAAAAGAAGACGATGTTTTCTTCCCAAGTACTTACAAGTTTCCCGAAATCTCAACTGATGCGGTAAGTTTGTTATATTATTTTAACATTGTTTGTGTCTTTTGGTGGGGTGATAGTTTAGGGGAAAACATTATGCAAAGCTCTAATTTTTCCCTTGTTCACTTAACACATACTTCTATATACCTTTATGGTGGTTAGATGGTATTAAATTCTTAGAATTGAATTGCATTTTTTGTATCTTCCTTTGGGATTTCGTATAACTGAGATAAAATTAAATTCTAATTTATCAGCATATGTTAGTGAAACCAAAACTATAAAATAAATTAATTTAATTAACCAAATAAATTAATTTAATTAATTAATTTAATGGATAATATTTTTTCCCACATGGCATATTATGATTGAAGATGAAAATATTTGCTCCCACAACTACCATCTGCTTCATATCCCTCTCCTTATATATATTGAAGTAGTTGAGATATCGTTTAGTCAAAAACAAAAAAATAAAAGTAAGCGAATTGTTAGCCCGATTATAATAAGCCCAAAACATGGAAGTGGTTTTGGTTGGAACCAGTAATAATAAGCCCAAAATAAGCCTCTTCTATTTTATCCTTGTTCCACCTTATCCTCCAGATCCAAACATGCCCTTAATAAACAGTCAAAACGTACGGCCCCACATTCCGCTCCCAAATATCAGACACAGTAATCAGTAAGTACACAGTTGTATTTTTATTAAAAAAGGAAGTTTCTGATTTAATGTTGGTTTACGCTTTCGGTGGTTTTGTTCGTTGCTTGGCTCGCTCGCGCTCCCTTTTCCATTAGAGCGTACTACGCATAATACCATTTCGCCTTGCGCTCCAAGTGTTCGTCGAAATGCCTGAGCCATGCTCTCCTCCACCACCGCTGCGACCCACCTGCTCGTCTTGCCCTACTCCTTCCCGAATTTCACCCCTCACGCATTTCCTTCGATTCTCTACGTCGTTAATTCAAGAACCGCAAGGAGGCAGCAGTGTCTGAAGGCGATGAGCTTCGTTTCGGTTAGAGAAAGCGGGTGTTCTTTGTTTTTAGGGTTTTCAGAGTTTAAGAAAGGAGCGTGTTCTGGGTTTGTGAGGCGATGTAAAGATTGGGATAGAGAGGGGGATTTCACCTTGGAAACTGAGATTTTGGAGTTCATGAAGAGCTCGAAGAAGCCTGGGGCGTTTCCGAGCAAGAAGGAGCTTCTTGAAGCTGGGAGAGTGGATTTGGTCGATGCTATTGCGAGGAAAGGTGGTTGGCTTTCGTTGGGTTGGGATTTGGAAGAAGAAGAAGGAGCTCAAGATAGTAATTTTAGGCATTGGGATTCGATAGTGGCTAAAGAAGGCGAGAGCAGTGCTTCGAGTGGCAGTCTAATTGGGGCTTCAGGCATGGTTTCTTCGTTTTCTGATGATTCTTCTCAAGCAGCGTCGTCGTCTGGTAGATCACTGTGAGGATTCTATTAAAACGAACTTGTTGAAGTTTTAGATTTGTATTAGTCGCTGGTAAATTTTTGTATTCGTTTTCTATATCTTTATCGAGGACCAAGAGATTGACTTAGAGTTTTACTACTACTTCCATTAACCATGATGACATCTGCAGCGATGGCTTGCTTAGGTTTTGAAAAATCAACTGGGAATGAATAGATAATGGAACCTTATTGACCCCATCCTGTTATAAGAACTCAAGCCTCTCTCTCTCTCTCTCTCTCTCTCTCTCTCTCTCTCTCTCACGAGATTTGATTAACTAAAATAAAAACTGCATTGCATAGGACAAGATTTCCACTGTTCATTGATTCCCCATTTTCAGTGATTATATCAAACATTAGTTATTTGGGAAGGGGAATCAACTAAAGTGTTTTTCTTTTATATGTGTAGAGAAGCTGCTACAACGGAGGATGATACTGGAATCGAGGGGATATTGAATCGATTGGAGAAACAGAGAAATTTGACGTTTGGATTTAATTTGAAAGAAAAAGAAGACGATGTTTTCTTCCCAAGTACTTACAAGTTTCCCGAAATCTCAACTGATGCGGTAAGTTTGTTATATTATTTTAACATTGTTTGTGTCTTTTGGTGGGGTGATAGTTTAGGGGAAAACATTATGCAAAGCTCTAATTTTTCCCTTGTTCACTTAACACATACTTCTATATACCTTTATGGTGGTTAGATGGTATTAAATTCTTAGAATTGAATTGCATTTTTTGTATCTTCCTTTGGGATTTCGTATAACTGAGATAAAATTAAATTCTAATTTATCAGCATATGTTAGTGAAACCAAAACTATATTTTGGTCTTTCCAATATCAAGTTGTTCATACCGTTGAAACTTGAAAGAGATGATAACAATTATGTTTGAACTCTCATGAGTGGCAGTCATCATTATTACAGCATCTCATGAAAGTAATTTATTTTTAAGAGTTTGATGTGATTGAATTCTTTGCATGTAGAACTTCTAAAACATAACGTGTGATGCTTGTTACATTGTAAAAGACAGTTGCTGGCCTTGTTAGAAGCAGCAGACCTGCATCATTGAACCCCAAAAAAGCTATTCTTAATGATTCAAGAGACAAGCCTAACCACAACAGATCTCTTTCAGACATTGATGTCCTAGCAGACTCACCAAGACCGGAAATGTGGAGAACTTGGAGCATCCAGAGGGCTGGATTTTCAGATCAGGATTTTGAAGGTATTTTATATTTACTTGTTTTCACTTTTCAGCGGCTCTATGGTTAGATAGTTTGGTTAAAATGACCTTTTGATGTTGATGTAATGTTCAGCTGCTGAAATTTCTTATGATAAAATGAGAGGGCCAGAGGATGTTTCAAGAGAAGAAATATTTCAATTAAGAGAAGTTGCTAATGAACCTTATCAAAGGAATAAACTGAATTCTCATCAGGAAGAGATCAGTCACAAGCAAATACGTGATCACATTAAGTACCTTGAATCAGAGCTCTCCTCTGCACTTCGTTCATTGAGGTCTAGATCTGATGAAGCTGCTTCACAGGTGGGTATGATCAGTCTTGATTATATGAATTTGTATGACTACTTCGAAATTTTGACTCTAAAGTTTTACCAATATGTTCAATTTCATCTATGGTCTCCAAGTTCTGTTTGCACTCAGGTTCTCTTGGGAAGCATTTTCATACTGTGATTGTGTTTTTGGAGGATTTGGGGAATTATATTAAACCCATTTTATATTTTTCATTAGGTTCATGAAAGCTCCTCTGATGATTTTCGTAAGCTTTCTGATGCCTGGGAGTTTCAGGAAAATGAGATTATGCATGCCCAGGACAAATTGCGTTCGACACGTGCAAAGTTGGCTGTTTTAGAAGGAAAGATGGCACTGGCAATAATGTATGCACATTTTCTGTTAATTTAAAAACAAGAATGTAACTTGCTTTACAATTGACATCTTGCCCACCCATCCCAGTGAAGCGCAAAAGGCTGTGGAGGAGAAACAGAAAAGGATAAATGATGCTCGTAGAGCCTTACAACTTCTTCGTACTACTTACATAGTTTGGCCAAATTCAGCCTCAGAAGTGCTCATTGCTGGATCATATGATGGTTGGACCACCCAGGTATGATCTCTTCTTGAATTGATCAGTTAGGTTGAATTAATATTAGCGAATGTCTGTTCTCCTCAGTTAAAATTACCAATGTTGTTATTTGCGGTGACTGGTTACAGAGAAAGATGGAAAAGTCCAGTACAGGAATCTTCTCTTTGTGCCTTAGGTTGTATCCGGGCAGATATGAGGTTAGCTCAGTTTTGTTATTTTCTGGTCATACTTTTAGTGTTTTACATCGTTGGGGGGCCATTGAGTAATGTGATTGTCTGACGAGTTTTCACCTTGCATTTCAGATCAAATTTATTGTTGATGGTGAATGGCGGATTGATCCCCTGCGCCCTATTGTTCACAACAGTGGATATGAAAACAATGTCCTGATCATAACGTAAGACACAGAAGAGCCCGGCAAGCATAACAAGATATTCTAATGATGAATTTAGCGCAAGCAACGGTTGTTTCAGCGAGCGTCCCACCATCCCTTCCCCCCCTCTCCTCCTCTTCTTTTTTTTTCCTCTTGTGTCATAGGTGGAGTAGGTGGTAGATTTTAACTGATGTGATTCTTTTGTCAGGATTCATATGTAATACCATTGGGTGCCTGCTTTCTAATTCATGTAAAACCCAAATTATACATTTGTGGTAATTGATTCAATGAGATTTTTTATTTTTTTTTCAGGAAATGTTCTTAATTATAACCGGAAGACCGATCCCTGGGATATAACTTTGTGTTTGATTCCTTAAGGGCAAACTTAATTTGAAGTTCGCAGCTTTTTTGTTTTCTTGTAAGGAATATTTGTAGCTTAATTAACAAGCCCAAAGGCGGCAAAGCTTAAATTCTCTGTTGTATAAGAAAGTTATTGTCCAAATACCACAACCTGTAAAACAAATATTTACACAACATGAACCAGATAAAGCTCCGGTAATATGATTGTACTTGCTCTCTTGGAGCCACAAGTTCAACTCCTTGTGGAAAAATCAATTTATATCGGTGTCCATTTCAGTCAGCATCCGTAAGTAGGGTTAACCAGCCTGAGAAGGGCGACACGAAGTTCTTATTGCAATTGTAAAACCACTGCCACAGTAAATCTCAATTAAGCCGGCTTCTTTCTGAAATTTGTGGCTGAGACTCACTTCTTGAGGACTCGTTTGATCACTTATATTTCCCAAGCCAAGCTGACCATGTTCACCCCATCCCCATGTCTTAAGTACCCCATTCTCTGTTACAATAGCAGAGTGCTCAGCTCCAGCTGCAATGTGCAGAGTTCTACTCCCTTCAAGCCCAGGGACTTTCTCCAGGACAACTTCTCTTGAATCTGCCAATGTTCAAAGAACCACACATGTAATCAGCAGAAATCACAATTTGACCACGATGATCATTCAGATATAATCAACTCCAGTTGTCTGCGCCTGCCCATTTAACTTACCAGAAAAATCCAGTTTCCTATTTCAAGGGCAAGTAGTGTATGGAACAGTAAATTATCACTTAATAAATACATGTTACTTTGTGGACCAAATTAGATGCATTACCGGCTAAGTGCTTGACTGGAGTCATTTTATCAGGATTACTAAGGACTCCATGGTGATTTCCACCAAACATAAAAACCTCTCCACCTGTTTAAGATATCCAAGGCAGCTATTTAACAACATGATATCGTTCCACCAGGGAAAATGAAGAAATTTAATAAATAAATGAATAAACAGAACTGGTTAAAACATGAAATAAATGCACATACCAGTTAGTACTAAAGCATGATTCCATCCAAGAGCAATTTTGGTAAAGCAGAATGATGTAGGTAAACGCTGTGGCGTTTGAGCACTTAAAGTGCCACCAAACCCTCTTCCCCAAGTGTACAAATGCCCATCAGCTAAGGTAATAGGAAAGAAAAGAAAACGACAATCAGGAAAACAATTCACTGAGGCAACTAGTGTTTCCATCAGTACTTGCGCTAGGCTTCACAAGCTTCTTTACTACGTGAAAACTGTGGACCATGACTAGCCTTGAAAGTTCTTATCTCTTACATGGACTGGATCGTTTTAAAGCTACAGTTCAAGACATCCATCTTACAAGCAATGTGATCTGCTTTAATGGCCAAATCAAGAAAAAATGAAAATTTTCTGGACTCACCGGATAATGCTGTACTATGATCTCCATTTGCATTGATGCTAGCGATCTTTACACCTTCAAATCCACAACTTCGTTCAGGAAGACTAACTAAATTGATTTTATCCTTGGCGATACCCAGTTGACCACGCTTCCCAGAACCAAACCCATAAACTTCATCTCCTGAACCACCTGCACTATATTAATCTTAGTTGTGGAAACTTAAGCTGGATGGTAATGATTAGGCATACACTTCACACATCATATACACTAGGACAAATGGGCTATATTGACTAAAGGAAATGCCTTTATCTTGTAATACAAGCATGCCACGGAGCTTATACATCCAAATAAAACGGCACCTCTACATTAAAGCATTGTGTCTGCCAGAAACATACAAGATCATCCTTGCAATTACCTCTCAGCAAAACAAGGGAATGGCGCATTCCACATGCTATCTGTTCCACGTGCTTACTAGCAAAGAAGGAGACTTCGACAGGATAGCAATGTAACCTGTAATCGCCATGCCCGAGCTGACCAAATGTGCCGTCTCCACATGTGAAAAGAGCCCCTGTATCTGAAAACAACCAAGTAAAGACCAAAACCAGAAAATAGTTTAGTAAGCCCCATACTTCAAGTTGTCTTCCAATTAAACACACCAGAACCAGATATATTGACACAGACAGTGCAAAAGCAGAAAAAGCAGAAAATTTGAAGTACGGGGAAAATCTAAAATTGGTTTTTTTATGCTAATAATACGGATACAAACAAGCATAAAAATATCAGCACAGATTGTAACATCAACTGCCTGAATATACCTGAAACGAAACCAGAGTGGTTCCAACCAGCAGAAACATGAGTAATGAAGTAGTTGTTCAAAGACATAACAAGCTTGGGATGTGGACTATTGACCGTATCAGAATGACCCAGTTGACCAGACGTGCCTCTTCCCCATGTCAGTACCTTCCCAACTGCAAAAGGGGTCAGATTTTTTGGTTCCTAAGAAAGAAAAAAAGAAGACTGTTTATAATATTAGATGAAAGAAAGGAAGAGACCGGAGGTCAAGGCAAGAACATGAGCGCCGCCGCAGGCAAGGAAAGAGATGGGTCCGGCGGAGGAGAGAGATGTGAGGTGAAGCAGCTGAGGGAGGAGCTCGTCCTGCGGCCTGCCCGTGCCCAGCTGCCTGTCCGTTCCTCAGAACCAGATATATTGACACAGACAGAAAAAGCAGAAAAAGCAGAAAATTTGAAGTACGGGGAAAATCTAAAATTGGTTTTTTTATGCTAATAATACGGATACAAACAAGCATAAAAATATCAGCACAGATTGTAACATCAACTGCCTGAATATACCTGAAACGAAACCAGAGTGGTTCCAACCAGCAGAAACATGAGTAATGAAGTAGTTGTTCAAAGACATAACAAGCTTGGGATGTGGACTATTGACCGTATCAGAATGACCCAGTTGACCAGACGTGCCTCTTCCCCATGTCAGTACCTTCCCAACTGCAAAAGGGGTCAGATTTTTTGGTTCCTAAGAAAGAAAAAAAGAAGACTGTTTATAATATTAGATGAAAGAAAGGAAGAGACCGGAGGTCAAGGCAAGAACATGAGCGCCGCCGCAGGCAAGGAAAGAGATGGGTCCGGCGGAGGAGAGAGATGTGAGGTGAAGCAGCTGAGGGAGGAGCTCGTCCTGCGGCCTGCCCGTGCCCAGCTGCCCGTCCGTTCCTGCCCCCCAACTCCATATCTCTTGCTCTCTTCCTTCTTCTTCTTCTTCTTCGTGCTTTACTATTTTCCCTTCTTCATTCTCTTCCATTACTACGATGCTCTCCGCTCTTCCCTTTTAAGTTTCAAGTTTCAACTCCACTGGAATTTCTTTTGCTTTCTGTAAAGTCTGTTAAGATGCTCATCATTTGGGCTCTTTGGGCTCCTACTCAAAATTTTTGGGCTTCGACATGTAGCTTCTATTAAGTTGGTAAATCGTATAGTATTTGATAGCTTTTGTTTACGATGAAAAAGATGAACCCGAACTTTCAGATTCTTCACTTCTTTCCCCTGTTTATTGAGTAGTTGAGTCCAAGAAGAAAGCTTGGTACGAGTCTCATTTATTCTTCCCAATATTTCATTACTGTGTCACTTGAAAGTCCAAGAAGCTTCAACTTCCAAAGGCAAACTGAGAATCTCAAATTCAGCCTCAATCCAACCCACTTGTGATGCAGTTATCAAAACCAACACAAACATGTTTGAAAGAAATGCAATCCCATTCGCAAATACAAGTCACAACAACTAGATTGTTGAAGTAAAAACAGAGTAAATTCACAACAGATGGCTGCTTGATTCATGGAAACAAAACAACGCACAAAATCAGAAACCAAAGAAAAGCAACATTGGATTCACGACCAAACATAAAAACATCAACCCTTTATCTAAATAACTTATACAACTTTGAAGTTTGAAGTACCTAACTCACGCAGCTCCATACCAACATATTCTTCCATTCCCAACTATATAAACCAAAACCCAATGCTAATGTTACAAACTAATCCTTCAAATTCCAAATAACTGACTACGAAAGTTAGAGAATGTCATCATAAGCAACGATTTCTCGGGCTTTGGCAGGCACATCCAATACTGAAGAACCATCGGCAGCAGCAACTCTGGGGTTCACTATAGCCGAAGCAAGCTTGTTGCCTCTACCATGTCTCCTCAGAGGCACCTCAGCCCTCAAAAGATTGGAATTTGAGGATGACCCATTACTAGAGTCTCTGTTTTCAGCACCAACTCCAACTCCTTTCCTCCATTGGGCAAGTGGGTCTGTTGCCCAAAGGACCTGCAACTGCAACAAAACCCCAAATTTCAACCAACTTTGCTAAAATTCGAAAACCCACAAAGAAACGAAGAAAAAAGCAAGCTTCTATTGGCAATTGAAGGGAAACTTAAAAAGATTACCTTTTTAGAGTCGAGGGTAATGCCAAAGGACGGGTCGAGGGAGGCGGCAATGGCGGCTTCAGCCGAGTCGGTGGCGCGGTAGGTGACGTAGCCGACCGCATCGCGGTCAATGCGGATGCGAGAGATGGCTCCGTATATTTCGAACCGGGACTTGAGGTCTAGGACGGAGCAGTCTGGCGGGAGACCTGTAATGACAAGAGCCGGCGGTGGCGGCAGCTTGTAAGTTGGCTTGTCGAGCTCTGGTTCGGGCTCCGGATGAGGAGGCAGGGGACGACGGCGTTTCCATCCGGAGGCGGAGGCGGGGACGGGGACGTGGCGGGAGAAGTAGGGTTTGTCTCTCTTCCGGCTCATGTTTTTTGGTGAAGAAAATTGGGGGTCTTGTGTTGTGTTGGTAGATGTACGACTTCAATTCCGGGGTTGTCGTTCATATACTGATATGATATCATATGAGTTCGGAGTTTGACTGTCTATGTGGGTTGACTATTTTCTCTTTAACCAATAAGGATTCCACCGTTCTTATGAGAATAGAAAATAAACTTGTTCACAAAAATAGGAAAAAAGAAGTTACACAATGCTCACTATTGTCTTAGCGTTCGAAAACAAAAAAATTTGTGGATTTTCAGTTGTAGACCGTTGATTGAGGTGTAAAACAAATCGAATTGAAACAAGTACAACATGAATACAAGAAAGTAGATGCACGAAATGGGATATAAATATTGACATGTGTATCGTGCTCCTTTGTGTCACTGTGTAGAAAGTATTCAATTTTGAACACTTAATTTCCTTTTATAGTTGCAAATGCATTTAAAATTGACGTGTGTATCGTGCTCCTTGTTATGGGTATTTTTTTGGAAAATAGCGGTATATACCCCCAATTTTATAATCTCAATTAAAAATACCACTGCTTCCCAATTTTTTTAGAACTAATACCTATAAATATAAAATTATTGTCCACTTATTGCTGAATTTTCACAAGTTCAGAAATTTTAGGTCACTCAGCTCTCTCTCTCTCTCTCTCTCTGGCACAGCTCTCTTTCTCTTTGGTTTCTGTCTAACGCAGCTCTCTGTGTCTCTCTTGGCTCTCTCTCTCTTGGCTCTCTCTCTCTCTAGCGCAACTCTCTGTCTCTCTCTTTGCTCTCTTTCTCATAGCGCAGCTCTTTCTCTCTCTAGCTT